TCATCTTTGTTGTCTGTATCTCCCATGTACCTCTCCTAATGCCACCGTGTTGATCGTTCACTTTTGGTACATTGCCCTTCCCTTCACCCAAATCAGTACTTGTCTCTACCTATCTAGCATTGTTCCCGTCCCTCCCCTCCCATCCCTGGTAACCAACACAGAATGTTTCCTTCCATGTACAAACCTTTCTCTGACTTTTTACAATAGTGAACTAATACAATATTTGTCCTTCTGTGATTGACTTATTTCACTCAGCCATAATGCCCTCCAAGTTCATCCATGTTATGTGGTGTTTTGCAAATTCCATATTATTCTTTAGTGTTGCATAATATTCTGTGGTGTGTATGTACCTGCTAAAGGGGCAAGGAGGCGGCATCTTTTGATCTCCTGTAACAAGAGGAAGACAGAATCACCATCAGCAGCCCAAGTCCTGTTCCTATGAGGCCAGACATGTCACCACTCTCTAGCCCTCTTACCAACCTTGACACCACTAACTATACCTTCTGCAGTACTCTTTGCTGGGTTTGATAATTTGCTGCAGTGACCACATAGAACTCACAGATTATGGGGTTTATTAGGGAAGAACAGGCTAAAATTCAAGTTCAGGAATGTGCTCAAGGATACAATTCTTCTACGAGGACAGTCTCCCAACTGCTGTGCCCTTAAACACACTTCTCTGGTCCTTGGCCTCTGCCTCTGTGGGCCAGGTTAAGTCTGCCATTCTGTCCCGTGCCTCTTGGTTCCACTCCTGCCATCTCTCAGCTGGGCATCTTTCTCAACCAGCAGTGAGATTCCTTCTCTGCCTCTAGGAGGGCTCATGGTAAGCCTGGTAGTGTGGCAAAATCAACCAGTCCCAACATTAGAGTTCTATACACCTGAGAGAGTGCAAGCTTTCCAGAAGATTACTTTGTGCTGCTCCAACAGAATTACCCCAGGTGGATGACTGTAATAATCAGGAGTTTAAAAGCAGCTACTTACAGTAATCCAATGGAAGTTACAAAGACCATGGCTATAAAAGCCATACCTTGTAATTCACTACACCATAGTACCATGGGGGAGCTCTGGTAGCATAGTGGCTAAGACACTTGCCTGCTAACCAGACGGCTGGCGGTTCAAACCCACCAGCCACTCCTCGGAAGGAAGGTTGGGCAATCCTACTTCCGTAGTGATACTGCCTCGGAAACCCAAGGAGGGGTCGCTATGAGTCGGGGCCGACTCGACGGCACATAACAACAACAACAACAACATAGTACCATAGTTTGGATATTCATTGTTCTGTTGATGGGCACTGTTTTGGTTACCTAGTGCCATTCTGCCACACTAGGAATATACCACAAATGGGATGGCCTTAACAAACAGGAGTTTATTCTTAACAGTTTGGAGGCTTTAAGTCCAAGTTCAAAGTGCCAGGCTCTAGGGGTTGGGTGAAAGGCCCTCAATCTTGGGCTTCAGCTCTGCCTCCTGCTCCCAGCCCACTGGAGCTAGAGGTGTTTCTTCACTCAGCTGCTGGCTGCTGAGGCTGACAAGCCCAAGGTTGACAAGTAATAAGGCAGTCCCAATATTGCCAAATTACATGGTAGGCCATTAATTCAAGTCCTTTAAAAGTCCCAAGATGGGCAGAGCATGGCAGGCTGTTGAACAATGACTTGGCTACATGCAGGGTTCAAGCATGCATAATCTAGAGACCATTTCCCAAGGCTTCTCTTTATATACGGAAGCAGACCACATCTCTAAGGCAGCCACTCAGCTGCTCATGGTAGATTCCACCATAGGGTTGATTACCAGTCTCATCCTGGGGAATACTACATCCAGCTGCCTAGCCACTCAACCAGGCCTAGCCAAGTTGACACAGAAACTTAACTACCACAGGCACCTGGGTTGTTTCCATCCCTTTGCTGTTGTAAATAGTGTTGCAGTGAACAAGAGTGTGCATTTATCTGTTCTTGTCCTGGCTCTTACTTCTTTAGGTTATATACTTAGTAATGGGATTGCTGGATCAAATGGTATTTCTAATTCCAGCTTTTTAAGGAATTGTCATACTGCTTACCACAGTGGTTGTATCATTTGACAGTTCCACCAACAGTATATGAGAGTCCCAATCTCTCCATATCCTTCAAAGAGATCTTTTGCAGCAGATTTGCCCATGGCAGTACGTCATCAGATTTCTTGACTGCTGCTTCCACTGGTGTTGATAGTGAATCCAAGTAATATGAAATCTTTAGCAACTTCAGTCTTTTCTCCATTTATCGTGATGGTCCACTTGTAAGGAGTCTTGTTTTCTTTATGTTAAGGTGTAATCCGTATTGCAGACTATATTCTTTAATCTTCATCAGTGAGTGCTTCAAGTCATCTTCACTTCCAGCAAGCAAGGTTGTGTAGTCTGCATATCACAGGTTGTTAATGAGTCTTCCTTCAATCCTGATGCTGCATTCTTCTTCATACAGACCAGCTTCTCAGATTATTTGCTCAGGATACAGATTGAGTAAGTATGGTGAAAAGATACAACCCTGATGAACACCCTTCCTGATTTTAAACCATACAGAATCCTCTTATTCTGTTTGAACAACAGCCTTCTGGTCTGTGTTCAGGTTCCTCAAGAGCACAATTAAGTGTTCTGGGAATTCCAATTCTTTGCAATGTTATCTATAATTTGTTATGATCCCCATAATCAAATGTTTTTGCATAGTCAGTTAAATTAAACACAAGTGAACATCTTTCTGGTATTCTTTGCTTTCAGCAAAGATCCATCTGACATCAGTAATGACATCCCTTATTCTACGTTCTCTTCAGAATCCATCTGGCATTTCTGGAAGTTCCTTGTCAGTATACTACTACAAGCGTTTTTAAATTATCTTCAGCAAAATTTTACCTGCGTGTGATACTAATGATGATGTTTGGTATTTCCCACATTCTGTTAGATTGGGTATAAATAGGGATCTCTTCCAAATTGGCCAGTTAGCTGTCTTCCAGATTTCTTGGCATAGATGAGTGAATACTTCCAGCACAGCATCCGTTTGTTGAAACATCTCAATGGGTATTCCATCATTTCCTGGAGCCTTGTTTTTCGCCAGTTCCTTCAGTGCAGCTTTGACTTCTTCCTTCAGTACCATTGGTTCTTGATCATATGCCACCTCCTGAAATAGGTGAACATTGACCAGTTCTTTTTTTTTGCACCGTGACTCTGTGTATACCTTTCATCTTTTTTTTTTTTTTGATGCTTCCTGCATCATTTGGTATTTTACTCATGGAATCTTTAGTTCTTTCAGTTTGAGAAATGCTGAGTGTGTCCTTCCCTTTTGGTTTTCTAACTCTAGGTCTTGGTACATTTCATTATAGTAACTGACTTTGTCGTCTTGACTTGCTCTTTGAAATCTTCTGTTCAGCTCTTTTATCTAACTATGCCATTTGCTTTAGGTTCTCTCTGTTCAAGAGCAAGTTTCAGAGTCTCTTCTGACATTCATTTTGATCTTTTCTTCCTTTCCTGTCTTTTTAATGACCTTTTACTTTCTTCGTGATGTTCTTGATGTCATCCCACAATTCATCTGGTTTTCAGTCATTGGTGTTCAATGTGTCCAATCTCTTCTCCAGATGAGATTCAGGAGGGATATCATCAAGGTCATATTTTGGCTCTTGTGGACTTGTTTTAATTGTCTTTGGCCTCAACTTGAACTTGCATATGAGCAGTTGATAGTCTTTTCCACAGTTAGCTCCTGGTCTTGTTTTGGCTGGAGATATTGAGCTTCTCCATCACCTCTTTCCACAGATGTAGTTGATCTTATTCCTATGTGCTCCATCAGGTGAAGTCTACATGTGTAGCCACTGGTTATATTCTTGAAAAAAGGAATTTGCAGTGAGTAAGTTATTGGTCTTGCAGAATTCTGTCATGCGGTCTGTGGCATCATTTCTGTCACCAAGGCCATATTTTCCCACTACTGGTGATTCCTCTTTGTTTCCAACTTTTGCATTTCAAGCACCAGTAATAATACATCCTGATTGCACGTTTGGTTAATTTCAGACTGCAGAAGTTGGTAGAAATCTTCAGTTTCCTTGTCTTTGACTTTTGAGTTGGTGCGTAAATTTGAGTAATAGCAGTAATAACTGGTCTTTCTTGTATGTGTATTGTTATTATCACTGACAGCATTACAATTCAGGATAAATCTTCAGACCTTTTTTATGACGATGAATGTGACGCCATTCCCCTTCAGTTGGTGAGTCCTGACATAGTAGATCATATGGTTGCTTGATACAAAATAGCCAAAACCAGTCCATTTCAGTTTACTAATTCCTAGGATATTGATCTTTATGCGTCCATTTCGTTTTTGACAACTTCCAATCTTCCTACATTCATACGCTGTACATTTCACATTCCAATTATTAATGAATGTTTGCAGTTGCTGCTTCCCATTTTGAGTTGTGCCCTATCAACAAATGGAGGTCCTGAAAGTTTTGTTTCTTTCATTCGTGTCATTAATGTAGACTCTACTTTGAGGCGGAAGCTCTTCCCCAGTCATATTTTGAGTGCCTTCTGATCTGAGGGGCTCATCTTCTGGCACTGTGTCAGACAGTGTTTCAGGGTTATCCATAAAGTTTTCCAGTAAAATATCAGGCAGTATTTGACTGCTATTCATAAGGTTTTCACTGGCCGATTCTTTGAGAAGTTGGATGGCCCTTTCCTTCTTCTGAGTCTGTCTTAGTCTAGACACTCTTCTGAAACCTGTCCACCATGGGTAACCCTGCTGGTATTTGAAACACTGGTGGCGCAGCCTCCAGCCTCACAGTAACGTGCAAGCCACCATAGCAGGAGAGACTGACAGAGGAGTGGTGGACAATTGATGTAGGCTTTTTTTTCTTTTCTGAATTGGCTAGCAAAGAAAGTACCTGTTCTTTGTGTTCTCAGTTGCAGATTTTGTATCTTGAGGGAAAGTAATGGATACTCCTAAGTATGTAATTAAAATAATAGCATATAGGAAATTTTATCTTTAAATTTACTTTTCTTTCAGGAGGCAAAACCTTCAACTGAGGACTTGGGAGATAAGAAAGAAGGAGAGTACATCAAACTCAAAGTCATTGGACAGGTGAGTTTCATTATTTTTCTCCTTTATTTGATCCACTGAGTTAATTTTTATATATAGTGTGAGGTAGCAGTTTAGCTTCATTTTCTTTTTCTTTTTTAATGTATTTTATTGAAATATAATTTATGTACAGTGAAATACACAAAACTAAAGTGACATGGGTCAATGCATTTTTTTTTTTTTTGGGCAGTGTTTCCTCCCCTCCCCTTCTACCCCTGGCAATCAACAAGAAAGTTTCCCTCCATATATAAACCTTTCTTTGACCCTCCACAACAACGAACTAATAACTATATTTGTCCTTCTGTGATTGACTTATTTCACTCAGCATAATGTCCTCCACGTTCATCCATATTATGCGGTGTTTTGCAGACTCTACCTTATTCTTTAGTGCTGCATAGCATTCCAGTATGTGTGTGCACCATAGTTTGGTCATCCACTCTTCCACTGATGGGCATATAGGTTGTTTCCATCTTTCTGCTATTGTAAATAGTGCTGTGATGAACATGAGTGTGCATGTATCTGTTCCTATCCTGGCTCTCACCTCTCTAGGATATATACCTTGTAATGGGATTACTGGGTCAAATGGTATCTCCTATTCCAATTTTCTATGGAATTACCATATTGCTTTCCACAGTGGTTGTGTCACTTCACAGTCACACTCAAATGGATTGTTAATTCCTTTGATGTTGAGGCATTGGAGTTTTCCATCAATCTTAGAGATAAGTCCTTTGCCAGATATGTAATTATCAGCAAATATTAATTTGTTGCTGTCATTTTTGTTGTGTGCTTTTTCAGTGTGTCGATTTCTTTGTTCTATATAATTTTCTATGCTAACCTCGGAAGGAAGGTTGGGCAATCCTACTTCCGTAGTGATACTGCCTCGGAAACCCAAGGAGGGGTCGCTATGAGTCGGGGCCGACTCGACGGCAAA